TCCTAAGTAGAAGTGTTGCTTGTGACTGACCTCCCTTTGTACCTCTGATTTGCTGTGTTCTTTTGTTTTCTAATTTTATTTTAAGAGCCAGGGCGGCACAGTAGTTAGAATGCAGTATTGCAGGCTAATTGTGCTGATTGCCAACTGCCAGCAGTTCAGCAGTTCGATTCTCACCAGGCTCAAGGTTGACTCAGCCTTCCATCCTTCCGAGGTGGGTAAAATGAGGATCCAGATTGTTGGGGACAATATGCTGACTCTATTAACCACTTAGAGAGGGCTGTAAAGCAGTGTGAAGTGGTATATAAGTCTAGGTGCTATTGGTATTCTTCTTGAGTTTTGGCAGAATGTGATGGAAGATGAGGAGCAAAATATAAGTTTAGAGAGTGTGGATAATATTCTGCAGTCATCCTCATTTCTACTCAGTGGAGTGGTTGACTTAGCAGTCAATTTACGATTGTTCATTTAATGATAGTTCAAAGTTTCAGTGGTTTCAATAAAAGTGATTTATCATCTGTCCTCAAAGTTACAACTATCACATCATCAACACAGTCATATGATTGCAGTTTGGATGCTTGGCAACTGGTTCGTGTTTACAACAGTTGCAGCAACTTGTGGCCATGTGATTGCAATTCTGCAGTCTTCTCGACTGGCTTCCAACAGGCAGAGCAAATTGAGGAAGCCAGATTTACTTAACAACTGCATGATTCATGTAATAACCATGTGATTCACTTAACGATGGTAAAAATGGTAGTAAAATCAGAAACCAGTCACATGATGACTCGCTTAATGACAGCATCACTTAGTAACTGAAATTCTGGTCCCAACTGCGGCCGTAAGTCAAGCATTGCCTTCACTTTCTTCTACCACCTGGTGATCAGCTGAAAAAGAGAACACAGCAGAGGATTATTTGCTAGGCAGGATAGGGATCCACAGAGACAGGGCAGCAAATCTCATGCTCTTAACAGATTCCTGACAACTCAGAGGACTTTAACACAGCAGTGGAAAGTCTGGGTTGTTGAGAATAATCTAGAAAAGTGGGGGGGGGCAAGTCTCCTTTGAGATGCTTTTGACTCTGATGATGTAATGGGTAGAAGGAATGACTGTGAGGAACAGTAGGAAAAGCTGCTACTAAGTCAAACAGTCAGATAAATGAGTCCGAGATAGTGTCAATACCCTTTCTAGGCTTCCCAAAAAGAAAGGGAGCCAGGGGGAAGTACATTCAAACTTGCAAGATGCTGTTAATATAACCTTATAATTAAAATAGTAGCATATAAACAGGCAGCAAGCCCCATACTACTTGCATGGTGGTGTTTTTAAGTAGGTTAATGAAACATTCACAGGCAAAGAAACAACCTCAGAGAGCACCAAGAGTGCCACAAGTCGTATTAGCTTCCATGACATTGGTTTCCTAGTGTGGTCTACCTCAAAGGGCTGTTGGGTGTAAAACATGGACATATTACATAAATACGTCCATGTTCTCTTGGTGACCACTTGAAAATTTGCTGCTGCTTTCTTCCAGGACATTTTTCAACTATTCAATCTAATCTAAAGTCCTAGAATGCCCTGCTGGCTTTCTAGCCAGGCACTAAGTAGGTCTAACTCCTTTTAGTTTTTGAGATCAGCTAAGTTCACCTATCTATGTCACCAGCTTATGAATATTAACATTAGAGTAGTAGCAACTGGCATTTTTCTTTAGGTTCTTATTCTTCGTAGAAATGTTACGTGGTCTACTCTGTCAACAAACATTTCAAAATAAATATATTTCTACTTGTGTCTCATTGAAGTTAAATTCCCCTATTCCACAATACATTGACTGGCCCATTCTGTACCATCAATTCAGTGCTGACTTTTAGCAACATAACTCTGTCAATCTCTGAAGTGCTGCATGAATGTGGTTTTAATATTTTTTCAAAACATTTATTCAAAACCTTTTGCGTGCAGGTTTCAAAAAGTAGATCGGGTTGAATAAGGTAATAAGTAGGCAGAATGAAGAATCATGGATTAGCCAACCCAAATTCCCTTCTTAATTATAGGATTCCCCAACAAATTGTGTTATTTACTGGAGCAAAACACTTCCTCTATTTCCTAGAGGAGCCATTATCCATGGTGTTCTGTAATTTTCTCTGTGCAGTCATGAAAATGATGCTGGATTACTTTATTCCTGCGGTGATGACAAGAAGTTTAAGCCAAATTCTGCTAACATTATTGGAGATTGGAGGGTAACCTAAAATCCAAGTTATCATCTTCCTTTGAATACTTAAGTGTGTGGGGAAGGATTGGATGAGAATTCATTAAACCTTCCATATGTTTTGTTTTCATCCTCTATATTGCCTGTCTCAAATGCTTTACTCTTCTTATTCCACTCATGGGACCGTAAAAGCTTAAAGGCACCCAGTCTGAATATGGGAAATGATGGAGAAAAAAGATTAAAGTGCTCACATTGGACACACATCAAAGAATGCAGCCTCAGAAGCTATTTTTTTTGGATTTTGGATTTTGTTTTAAAGAAGGGAATATGAGAAATTATGTGATAAAGGTGTGCACTTTGTTTTTATTATAAGAAAAAACAGAATATCTCTTGTTTTGATATCCGACAGCCCAGCTTCAATGTCTTATTTCAAAACAGTTTGCAGCCACCCTATTGGCCATGAATGGAAGTCACTTTGGATGGTGAGATGGATGGGATATAAATTGGACTTTTCCTTCTTCTTTTTCTTATGTAAATTTGATTCTGATGCTGCCCGTCCAATATCCAGATGTAGTTCTGTTTATGTTTAAAAAAAAACAGAATGAGTCTGGTAACACCTTTTCCAACTAGCAACTTTTATTAAAAGGCATAACTTTTGGGCCACCATGGGCTAGCATGGCTCTCCTTCTACAATATCTGCTATGTTGCTCAAGACAGATGTTGCCACTGAACAAAAAAATACCCTTTCAGAAAATTATGTTGACCTATCTCCAGTAATATTAGGTATATTGTCCCTTTATCATAACTATCTGATATAATGCCATTAAAAATAATTCTGGCTTAAACTCTATATGTTGTCTGGTCATTTTTTCTAAGCACATATGAATTTGTATCCAAAATTTCCTTGCCTTTATACAGGTCCACCACATGTGGTAATATGTGCCAGGTATTTGTTTACTTGATGCCTCCTTGATGCATCACTTGATGCTTCTCCTCTTTCCAAGGTTGGCAAAACAGGCCTGTATATATTTTTATGATTAAGAATCTGATTCTTCATTAATGAGCCAAGATTCAGTTCTGAAAGCACCTGGCCTCATTATTTGATGAATCAACTCTAAACAATACTGTACGCTCTACAGATCCAATGTCAGTATTATATTTTTTTTTCTACAGGAAAGTTCACTGTTTTTTCAAACAGCTACTTTCTTCAAGTTGTCTTTCTAGATGGATCAGGTCAGACACTGCCCCAAAGTGCTGAGAAGATGTTATAATGCTCTTTTATTGATGGATCGATCCATTAGTAGAGACTCCTAATTCCTTCCAATGTCATCATCATGTAGTGAACTGGCAATTGTTTTTCTTGTTTTACAGGGAGAGGAGAATGACTTCGGTTTCATTGTAAAAAATGCTTGCAAGCTCTCAAGGTTGCTTAGGTGGTTTCTTAAGAGGTTGAGCGTTATCAAGCCACTTCTCCCTGTGCTTTTACAGGTTTTTGTGTTTGTGTGTGTTCCAATCGATCATCAGACACCTTTAGAGGAGGCAGGACTGCCATAGCTTCTTATCTCTTTCTGCTGTAAATACAGGGTCAGGTTTTTAGAATAACCATTAGAGTTTGCACTTACACATCAAAGCTGCTATGTTGCATCCTCAGTGGTGTCAGAAGAGCCTGGTTGTACCCATTCCAACAAATGAATGTTTATTAAAAAGACATCAGCTAACACAGCTCTCCTCTTCTAATATCTAGGAGTAAATGCTTACAAGATAAAGATACCTCATAGTCATGATTATGTTTTTTCTTTATTGGTTGTAAAACAATTCCTTCTTTCTTTGTACTCTTCTAGTGTATACAAATGTTCAGTCTTACTACATAATGATTATGTGATTCTTGTTCTTGGCACTTCCGGGTGCAAGAGACTAATGATGTGATGAACTTGCTAGCTTTGGAGTAATAAAACAATCATTTGAATCTGCTCCAGCTTGATGGTTTTCTTGATAAATGATTTTTTTTTTTTATCACAACTTCGGATAGTATTCTTCCAGAAATATCAAAGGTTTGGGACCTCTCAGTTGGGTTTCCTCCTTTGAGACCTGAACCCTTACTGTCACATTTTTACTCCGTGTCTATCATTGTACCTTAGTTTCTATCATTCTTCTTTCATCCTTTTCATAATGAGTTAGAAACAAATGATAGAAAAACACTTTATAGTGCCGTATGCTTTGGCATCGTATTGTAATTCCTTCCATATGTGTTGTATTTTATGAACTGATCTGTTGTGTAGACTTTTGACTTTTTATATATCACTCTTGGCGTTAATTTGAATTCATGTGTACACATATGCATAAAGGTCTTACTTGTTTACAGATGTTTTCAAATATGCCCTTCTAAAAACATTTTTATGGAGTACTCATAAGCCTCATAAATGTGTATTTATGCATCTCACCATAAGAATCTGCCCATCCTTCCATATATTGCAACAGGTAATGCAGTGCACCTAATATAATTTATTGATTATGATGTATTTCACAATACAGGATTATAAATTGCTAGTCTGCCAAATATAAAGCAGATTTACAGCAGGCCACCCTTGCCTGGCCATGATGAGAAAGCTACAAAAAGTGGTGTTTATATATATATTGGTAGTACATCATGTTTTTAGGCCTATGAAGTTGGAAGAGTTACATGAAGAAGCAGAAGTCATAGGGGAGAAGAAGGAGAGAAGGACCTGTTATGTTGTGCCAATTTATATAGAATAATTCATAAATTTATCTCTGTTTTCCTCAGAAATATGATGGCTTAAATTGTGTTTTTCAGGGATTGGCTACAAGTCTTCAGCCCTCCTATCATTCCTCCTAGCCAACAGGTGGCAGAATATACCAAAGCTTCAGCAAACATAAGTGCCCAAGGTAAGAATGAGTGGAAAAATTGCCACTGAATTGAAGAGAGATCAAAAGGATATTAGAAACTGCAACAACATGACATTAACTCCTCCACTTGCTAGGTAGTATACAAATTGTGGAGTCCTTGGTGCTCTCTGAACTTGGCTATTTTTGTGCAGACATTTCATTACGCAGCTAGGTAACATCTTCAGTGCTAAAAGGGAGAGGACTTTGCTCTCTATTTATATATAGGAATTTATACTGTCGGTATTGGTGGCTGTGATGTTTTATTTTTGATAGTTCCTTAATAGGGCTGTTGTTTATTGCTCAATTGTCTGGTGTTAATCCAGGTATAAATCTCTGCTTGTCTGAGTGTTGATTACTGGCCAGAGAGGTTCTAGCCTTTTTCCATTCTAACTTTTCTGTTGTCTCCTTTGAAGGTTACATAAATGTTCTTTATCTCTATGTGCCTGTTGTTGTCTGATTTGCCTAAGTGCCAGGCTTCCAGGAATTCCAGGCATTTTTGGATTCAGCTTGATCTAGGATGCTCAAGTTTCCCAGTTGAAACTATGATTAAACTTGTCCATGTATTATGAAATTAAGGAAATCCCATTCCTTATAGCACTGATTACCTAGTTGGGTAATGAAACATCTACAGGGGAAAAAAACCTAAGCTCAGCGAGCACGAAGGACTCCACAGTTCATCCCTGAGTTACATATCTTGTCTTCTATTAGTATGTAAGTTGTGCATTCCCAAATACCTCAGATAATCCTTCTTTTAGCATTCCTACACAGGAACCCACCAACACCACATTATTCTGTTCTTGCATATTATATCTAATGAGAAAGAAAGCTGTTTCTTAGAAAGGGGGTTAATGAAGCAATTCTGCCATGAATGAAATCTTAAAATGTTGGCGTTTACCTAAGAATTCCACTTCTGTTCTCCTTCCTCACCTTTTCCACCCTACAACCCACCAAGGATTCCTATCATTTTCACGGTTCCCTATGAGAACTTACTGTGTATTTGCAAGCAGCATATATGTAGAGGAAGAGCTGTCCATTAAATCTAATTGTCCATTAAATCCAATTTATATAATTCACAAAATTAATGTAATTTACATGCAATTAATATATTATTTATGAAAACATTCATGTTTTAGTATTTATGTGAGTTGTCCACATTAGTTTCCTATAAAACAGACTCTTCCATATTTGGTGTGGGTGGGGCAAAGTCTGAAGTCAGTTTTTTCCATTAAATCAGATGTTTGCTGAAGAGGACTCCATAAAATCAAGATTTGACTGTACTTTATAGTTATTGTAGGAGTGAAGGCAATTTTGTAATGGATTCCTTAACACAGATCATGCTATGTAAAACAGGGAGTTTTTTTTCAGAAAAATGTAAATTTACAATATGTTATGACAGCAGAATAACTGTCAAGATCAGGCATTACTTTCAGAGGTCTGACTACATAATGTTAAAGATGCTAAATATGCCACTTTAATTATCATTGTAATTTTTTATTCAAACATATAGTAAATAATTATTTCGGATGACGACTGAGAAAACCTTTAATAATCTAATGAAAATTCCATTTCTTCTGAAGCTCTGCTGCAGTTCTCAGAAATCTTAAAAGGCATACAAGAAATAAATCAGCAAGAATTTCTGACAGTCGATTGACTTTCTTCCACCCTGAATAATGCAGCAGAAATACAGCAATTTACTACTGCAATTGAGCCCCAAATTTCTGGTGCTAAGCAAGACAGTTGTTAAGTCAATTATGCCTCATTTTATTACATGTTTACCATCGTCGTTAAGCAAATCACTGCAGTTGTTAAGTGAAACATGCTTAAGCAGATGTTAATCTGGATTTCTCCCCACCCCCCCTTGACTTTGCGTGCTGGGAAGGTTACAAATAGTGATCACATGATATGATTTATGACACTGCAACTATCATAAATACATGCCAGTTGTCAAGCACCCGAATTTTGATCATGTGACTGTGGAGGTGCTACAATGGTCATACATGTGAAAACCAATCATAAGTCTGAAAAGTGCCGTTGTAACTTAGAACGGTCACTAAACAAATGGTTGTAACTCGAGGACTACTTGTATATGAGGGGCAGGGAGCAAAGAGCAGATTTTTATACAAAACGCTTTGATCTTTTAGTACAACCCAATCCTGAGTCTCCTAACAAGAAGATTGTATTTTTACCTGGACCAATAATGCTTTCCAGGAATTATTGGGGATTATAGCCATAAGGACTCGGTGGCTAAGATGTTGAGCTTGTCAATCGAAAGTTCGGCAGTTCAGCGGTTCAAATTCCTAGTGCCGCGTAACGGAGTGAGCTCCCATTAATTGTCCCAGCTTCTGCCAACCTAGCAGTTCGAAAGCACGTAAAAAAGGCAAGTAGAAAAATAGGGACCACCTTTGGTGGGAAGGTTAAACACATTCTGTGCGCCTTTGGCATTTAGTCATGCCGGCCACATGACCACAGAGACATCTTCGGACAGCGCTGGCTCTTCGTCTTTAAAACGGAGATGAGCACCGCCCCCTAGAGTCAGGAACAACTAGCACATATGTGCGAGGGGAACCTTTACCTTTATCTTTATAGCCATAGGAGAATCAGTGCTTCGAACAACAGTTGTTACCTGAAAATGCAGTACTTCCTAAATCACAGAAAGACAAGTTTGAAAATAACAAAATCAGCCATAAAAACCCATAATTATTTACTACTGGACAGAATATCCCTGTCGATTTTTATATGCTACTCTAATGAAATCCTAAAACAACCAGTTTCATTTACTACTAGTAAAAGAATTCTGTGGTATCTTTTATTTGAAACGTAACTCATTGTGAATATACAAAAGACCTAGGGTTTTTTCCCCTTCCTTTTATAGTTTCTTGGCTGTTTGTGAAGTATTCGTTTCTTCCGAAATGGGGGGGGGGGGGTTAGGCCTTGAAGGAATGCAGTCGTGGGAGAAGGAATGAATAACGTTCTTTTTAAAAACCAATCCCCTTTTCAAATGTGTGTCATGTTTCTTTAGTTTTATTTCATACCAAGGAGCCGTCTTTCTCAAATAGAATCCCAAATCCATGTAGTCAGGTTTATTCCTGAAGCGAAGTCCACTTTAATACTTCTGAGCTTGCATCAATGGAATAAGTAGCGATTTCCTTATCCTGCCATTTGCTCCTGTAATGCAGTAGCCAAATGCAGCCTGGCTTTGTAAGATAATTCTGTTTTATTCCTAAGGCTGCAGTTCCCTTAATCCTTTCCTGTTGAATTAGAACTCCCTGTATCAAATGGCATCGTCAGATGGTTTGGTACCATTTTCTGATTCAGTGTTTCTTAACACCCAGGGACGATGACTTGATTCTGTAAATCCTTTGCACCCTTTCAATTAGCCCCCCAAGCAAAACTAATGGTAGTCTGACAGTTGCCTTTATTATACAGTGTAACACAATGGTGGCTTGGTGGATCCATGCTAGGTGATAGATTTCTCAGACATTGATAAACATAGGGTGGAAAATAGCCTTGGATCAGCTCCCATACTTAATTCAGTATTATGCAATAGGGGAGTGTGAGAGGAGGGGTTGTGCTGTCCCAGAAAAGTCAGGTTTATGTGTTGTCACCTACTTACAAGGAGGAGGAGGGAGAGCATGATGATGACAATTTGGCCAATAGCATCATCCGGTTATCAAAACAATATAATTACATATAATTTGTGTTACAAAGTCATCCAATGTAAAAAAATAAGTAAGATATTTATTTAGGAATTAGAGTTTGCATGCAAACCCCAGAACAATCACATCAGTTTGGGCTTTCAGATTGATACATACTTTTGACAAATGCTCCATTTCTCTCTGATCAATGAATAAAATAAAGCCCCCCCCCCAAAAAAAGAAAAAAAATTGAGAAAAGAAGGTGGCTATTAATGTATCACAGCTGGCAAATTGAGCATCTCCAGATGGCTGGAATTACAGTTCTAATAATCTCTTGCCATTGGCCGTATGACAGGGGCAGACGAGGACTGATGTTCACAGCATCTGGAGAATATCAGATCACTTGCCTTTCTTATATAGCGTTTTAAAGTGCAAAGTTCCCTAACAACACTCCCATAATAAGACAATTTCTCTTTAAGAAACAAAGCCGTGTTAATGGGTTAATCATAGAGAAGAAAGTGTTCTAGCATGCTCCCAAAGTCATATAGGCCAAAGTTGTAGGCTTTAAGTAGTTCCATCATGAGTCTTCATGTCCCAAGGATATATAGTGGAGTGTCTTTTGGCAGTTCAGCCGCTGAAATTGTTTCAATCTCCTTTTTAAAAAATGGAGATTGTATGAAAGATATGTTATGAAACAAAGCATTGCTCCTTAAAGGAAAAGAAAGGAAAGGTTTTTCCAGAGGAAAGAAACAATGGAATGTGTAATCTATGCATCATCTGCATTCTTCATCTAACATCACCCATAGCTTTTAGGTTCCCAACTAATTTCAAACATTGTAAACCCATTGTTATTAGCATAACAGGCCATTACTTTGAAGAAGCTAAGTATACAATATTGTTACTCTGTATTCGCCGGAAGGAAAGGATGAAATGTAGAAAACTGTTCACGTGCAACTGAATCGTGGCTTGGTATCACTCACATTATTTTTTAGCTCTTATAAAAAGATTCTTGTCAAGTAAGCCCATAACTCTTTGCCATCGCTTTAACAAATTTGTTCCATTAGAAAACGCTGAGAGCCGCTAGACACAAAGTGAGTGAAGAATTTCCTAGTCAAGTTTCTCTACGTGCCTTGATGATGCAATGTAGAATAGATGTTAAAGCCGAGTAATGAGAACATTATCACCCAGCATATACTGTGTGTGTATACGCACACACATACACATGCACACACATACATACATACATACATACCTCACATTTATTTACTCTTTTGATTCTTGGATCAGTGTTGGAGATTAGAATTCAGCAGGGAGCCCTTGCTAGACAATATGCTGTTGAATGCAGAGTGCAGAAATTATTGAGTAATTTAATAGCAAAGCAACACAACATTTTAAAAAACTAATCTCTTTGAAAAGTATAGATAGGTCTATCAACCGTCTTTAACCATGATAGCTTAATGAAATCATCACCTGCAACATCAATATACTAATGAACACCCCACTAATGGGGATAAAAGAATGCAAGAGGGTTGTCACCTTGTGAATTTTTGGAAACATCTGGTTGGCTGCAGATGGGAACTGAATAATAGAATGGATAGATCTGGTCCAAGGACGAAGGCTTGTCATCTTCTCTACTAAGACTCTTTTTCTTCCCTTGTTTTTTATCCACTTTCTGTTCATCCAGTGGCTAACATTGCCACATTACTGCTCTCATTTTAATATTTTTATAACTGCACATGCATGTGTTGGGACACAGTATATATTACAGTAAAGAGAACAGTGAAGAAACGGGACTATATATAAATAGCAATTGCACTTAGATACCGCTTCACAGTGCTTTTACAGCCCTCTCTAAGCGGTTTACAGAGTCAACATATTGTCCCCAACAATCTGGGTCCTCATTTTACCCATTTTATTTTATTTGTCAAGAGCATATTAGGTAATATATATAAGTATTAGCATGAATTGAATACATAAAATAGATACAAATAGGAAACATTAGGACAGGGATGGTAGGCATGCTGGTGCTCTTATGCCATGATGTACCTCTACCTACAAAATCAGAATCATGCAAGCCTGTGACACTCTATGGCAGGGGTGAGCAATTACGGGGCCAGATGAGAAATGGGGACTGTTGTGCAGTGCCACCGCTGCTGCCCCGCCCCCAATGCAGCTGCCACCCTGCTCCCAATGCTGCTGTTGCACACCCTCCACCCAACATGCCTTGCCACCTCTGTCGACGCGGCACTGACCTCCCAAGACTGCTGCCCCACCCCTGACACTGCCAACACCCTCCCCCCCCCCCCACTGTTGCCAGCCTAGCAGGCAGACCTGGGACTGCCCATAAACCAAATGTGTTCTAAGGACTGTAAAATGCCCTGGTCTCCTCTATGGAAATGAAAGTTGGATTTTTAAAGAAGCTGATTAAGGACATTATTGATTCCCTTGAACTTTGTCATTGGACAAGACTCCTGAAAGTGCTGTGGGCAGCCAAGAAAACAAACCAATGGATGATTGAACAACTCAATCCAGTCTTCTCATCTGAGGCATAAATGGCCAGGCTCTAAGTATCCTATTTTGGGCACATTATATAAAGATCCAGCTCTTTGGAAAAGGCTCTAATGCTGGAGAAGTGTCAACCATCCCATTGGTAAATGCAACAAAAGAAACTCCTGGGATATTACAAACAAACATCCTGGGAAGATAATCAAGCAACAAATCACCGAACACCTAGAAGCAAAAAAAGTAATAACCAAAAGCCAACATGGGTTTGTCAAAAGCAGATCATGCCAGACTAATCTTATTGCATTCTTTGACAAAGTGACAAAATTAGTGGACCAGAGGAATGCTGTCGCTATAATTTACTTGGACTTCAGTAAAGCATTTGATAAAGTAGACCATAATCTACTACTAGATAAAGTAGAAAAATGTGGGTTAGACAGCATCACCACCAGATGGATTCGTAACTGGCTGACCAACCGCACTCAACGTGTAGTCCTCAATGGAACTGCATCTACATGGAGGCAAGTATGCAGTGGAATACCCCAGGGCTGTGTTTTAGGCCCAGTGCTCTTCAACATCTTCATCAATGACTTGGACGAGGGGATAGATGGGGAACTCATCAAATTTGCAGATGACACCAAGCTGGCAGGAATAGCCAACAGTCCAGAAGATAGGCTCAAGATACAGAAGGATCTTGACAGACTTGAACATTGGGTACTATCTAACAAAATGAAATTCAACAGTGAAAAAAGCAAGGTTCTACATTTAGGGAAGAAAAACAAAATGCACAGGTACCGTATATGTGGTACCTTGCTCAATAGTAGTAACTGTGAGAGGGATCTTGGAGTCCTAGTGGACAACCATTTAAATATGAGCCAGCAGTGTGCAGCAGCTGCCAAAAAAGGCAACACAGTTCTGGGCTGCATAAACAGAGGGATAGAATCAAGATCACCTGAAGTGTTAATACACTTTATAACGCCTTGGTAAGGCCACACTTGGAATACTGCATTCAGTTTTGGTCGCTACGATGTAAAAAAGATGTGGAGACTCTAGAAAGAGTGCAGAGAAGAGCAACAAAGATGATTAGGGGACTGGAGGCTAAAACATATGAAGAACTGTTGCAGGAACTGGGTATGTCTAGTTTAATGAAAAGAAGGACTAGGGGAGATATGATAGCAGTGTTCCGATATCTCAGGGGCTGCCACAAAGAAGAGGGAGTCAAACTATTCTTCAAAGCACCTGAGGATAGAACAAGAAGCAATGGGTAGAAACTAATCAAGGAGAGAAGCAACTTAGAACTAAGGAGAAATTTCCTGACAGTTAGAACAATTAATAAGTGGAACAACTTGCCTGCAGAAGTTGTGAATGCTCCAACACTGGAAGTTTTTAAGAAGAGATTAGATAACCATTTGTCTGAAGTGGTGTAGGGTTTCCTGCCTAAGCAGGGGGTTGGACTAGAAGACCTCCACGGTCCCTTCCAACTCTATTATTCTATTTCTATTTCTATTATTTTACCAAGAGTGTAACTTTCCTGATAATTCCACATGGGCACAGAAGTAACAATGCCAGTTCTAAAGTTTTTGCGCGAAAACGAGCATAGGTAAAATCCCCTTTTTCCCCTGGACCTCCCCACAATTCATTGTCCACCAATTAATTGTATTCATTTTGTTTTGGGAACATTCTGAGCAGCTCGGAGTGTTCCCAGTGTTTGACCTTGGGGTTTTGTCCCAGGCTGCATCGGCTCCCTTCCTCCCAAGCCTCCCTTGCATTCCAATACTTTCCCTCCCCCCCTCCCTGTTTCTGTTGTTTGGTTGCGAGCAGGGGTACGTGGTGAGTCAGCCATGATAGAAAGATGGAAGGAAAGGAAAGAAGAGGACAATTAGCAGCAAAATAGACAGACTCAGTTCCAGTGGCAAAGAACAAGCTAGGGATAAATCATCATGGAGAACAACTATGTGAGAATTGAAAATGACTTAATGGCAGTGGTGGGATTCAGTCGGTTCGCACCAGTTCGGGCAAACCAGTTGTTAAATTACCATCACCACCTGCTATCAAAGTGGATCCTGGGCGCTGTGCTGCAATGGAGAAACGGGGAACGGAGTGGCCGGCGCGAGGGAAGGAGAAAGCCGCTTTCCCTCTTTCTTTTCCCTGCTCCTCCTCCTTCCCTCATGCCGGCCGCTCCGTTTCCCATTTCTCATTGCAGTGGAGAGGGGGGCGGTGTAATTTAACAACCAGTCAGTTGTGGGAGGCTCGGCCTGCATGTGTGGTGGAGCTGGAGGACAGGGATGGGCCCCACCTTCCACGACAGCCAACCTGACCCTGGGTGAACCGATTGTTAAATTATTTGAATCCCACCACTGCTTAATGGTACATAGTCAATATATACAAATATGGTGGTGCTCCAATATGCATATACAGTTTACATAGCAAAGCAGCCTCAGTGCTGGAGTTCTACACATGTTGTAGTATTCAATTTTAATCCCCAAGCCACCTGTCAGTTGCTTCCCTTTGACTGTTGATAATGATCCAAAGCCAATAGAAATTGTGGGGTTTGGTTTTTGGACAATTCCACTTATAATGTTGCTTTTCTTCCTTGTACGTTTGGAAGAGGCATGACTTTCCAATTTATGAGGTATCAGAAAGATGCTTACATTAGCCTTTACCACCTGCTTATGCTTAGAATTTTTCATTACTTGACTGGACTTTTCAGCTCTGGAAACCCTCTCAAGCTTTCAAGATTAATTGGGGTTTAAAATTCAATCCAAATAAATTAAAGCAGGAACTGCAGCACAGTTGGAACTCTCTGATATGAAAAATACCTGGCAGCATTGGTTTATCTTAGTTTTTTTTAAGGGATTTATTTTTGAAGTTATCTTTTTAAGAAAAGAAAGTATAACTGTGAGTAATGGCATGACAAAAAGCCAGTGCTCTTTTTACCAAATGGCACCACCCTTGAGAACAGTTAGGCCTAGTGAGCTAAAGCCCAAGATAGAAATAAGGGGACCATGAGTACTAGTCCCGCCTTAGGCACAGAAACCAGCTGGATGACTTTGAGCCAGTCATTCTCTCTCTCGGCCCAGTTCACCTCAGATGGCTATCTAATCTTTGTTTAAACTCTTCCAATGAAGCAAAACATACTATTTCGTGAATAATAATTCCACTGGCTAACATTTCTTGTACTCAGGAAATCTCTTCTAATATTTCAATTTCCTGCTTGCTTGTTAAATTTCCCAGAGCATCTGCTCTGAAGCTTCTAAGAGAAAACCTGCTGTATTCAATAGACCTTTGGTATAGAGTACAGGTAGTCCTTAACAAGTAGAATGTTTTGTTTCTTTCTTTCTTTTTACAGGTAAAGCAAATATTTTGTAAATCATCTGTTGTTTTGCCTTTCCCTTTAGGTGAAGGTGAAGGGAGGGAAGAAGATGAAGTTCTGACTCTGTTGTATGACCCGTGCCTAAACTGCTACTTCGATCCTGAGACTGGGAAATATTACGAGTTGGCATAGATATGTGAAGAGATACGGAGCGCCACAAAGAACGCAAACTCTGCAGCACTTGAGAGTCTTGGCAAATGCTATTTTCCCTGCTCCAAAGGCAAACGGAGCAACACTTGAAAAGACCATTTAATATTTTGTCTCTTTTTTTTCCCATTTCTGCTATTTTTATCAGAGTGCATAGAAAGCTTTTCTGACTTTCGTACACGTTTAGTTTGTTCCTATTATTTGCAATATGAAAGATTCCTACATGTGAACTGAATTACACCAAATCAAAGATACGTCCTGGATTTAATCTGTGAATGCTTGCATAATTTTTTTTTCACCTAGTCATTTTTTTTTATCCCCAGTCATTTAAAGAAATATATTGCATCTTTGTACTTTAAAAATACAATGTTCAAAAAGAAGTTCCTCCATCAATTGTCCTGCTATTTGTTAAAACAACATTCCTTTTTTAAAAAAATAAATAAGGGGATAGCAAATACCTTAGAGGATAATGTCAAGATTCAAGAGGATTTTGACAAAATAAAACAATAGGAAGAATACAGGACAATGAATTTCAACAAAAACAAATGCAGAGTCCTGCATTTGAGTAGGAAAAGTCAAAGCTATGAGTACTAGTAACCCCTTGATTTAAGGCCAGTCGCTTAGCAACCATTTAGAGCTACAATGGGGCTACTTACAACCCAGATTCAAAATTTCAACAACCAAACCTTCCTCCACCCTGTGGTCACATATTGCATTTGGGGCCCACGTTTACGGGTGTTTGCATTCATATGACCACAATTATGACATTTATTTCCAGAAACTGGTTTACTTCCAAAAGTGCAGATAATTGAGTCACTTAACCACAATGGTGATTCATATTACATCTGCCATAAAAAGATCGTAAAATCAGTCATGGTGACCCACTTAACAACCAGCACAACCGGTTGCGACCGGAATTCCAGTCTCAAATAAGTGGCAGACTACCTATATATAAGACTAAGGGAACCTATTATGTGATTTGGGTGTTTTAGTGGATGCCAAGTTGAAATGAGCCAGCAGTGGGATGCAACTGCAAAGAAAAAACAAATGTAATCTTAGGTTGCTTCAAAAGAAGTCTAGCGTCAGGATCAAGAGAAGTCATTCCTCATCCCTTTCTATTGTGTTTTGGCTAACTCACACCCAGAATACTATATTCAGGTCTATGTGCAGCACTTTAGTGACAACCAGGAGCATGTTCAAAAGAGATAAAGACCTTGGGGGCAAAAAGTCTAATGAGGAATGGTTGGAGTATGGACATGTTTAGCCTGGGAAGGAAAAGACATTGGGAGAGGGGACATAATGGTTGCCTTCAAGAATCTGAATGGCTATCAGATTCAGTGTAGAAGAGAGACCAGATCTTTTAGACTTAAAGTCTATGGAGATTCTCAGTCATCCAGGTCATGGTTGGCCCAAAGGTGCTGTTTCAGGAGGCAACTGGACTTTTCTTGTTTTTTCTTTGAAGACATTTCACCTCTCATCCAAGAAGCTTCTTCAGCTCTGACTGAATGGTGGGGAATGGAAGCTTCTTGGATGAGAAGCAAAACGTCTTCAAAGAAAAAACAAGAAAAGTCCACATGCCTCCTGAAACAGCACCTCTGGAACAACCATGGCCTGGATGACAGAATCTCTGTAGGCTTTTTAGCCATGCACTTTGGGATGAACACTCTTCAAATGGTGTGGGATTATGAACAGATTATCAGAGCAAAAATTGTAGACTACAGGAACATTTGCACTACTCAGATGACCCTGAGGACACAGATAAACCTCCAAGCACCTCAACGACTCTCTAAAAAGGATGCCAATGACCAGCTGTTTGCAAGGAGTATAAATCCTTCTATTTCCCACCATCCAGTCAGAGCTGAAGAAGCTTCTTGGATGAGATGCGAAACATCTTCAAAGAAAAAACAAGAAAAGTCCAGTTGCCTCCTGAAAAAGGCAACTTTGGGATGTCTTTTAGACTTGTTTCAGAAGGCAGGACAAGAAAGAACAGGTTTAAATTATTTTTAAAAAAGTGAATTCTGATTGAACATCTGGGAAGTTTTTCTAAGGGGAGATCTGTTCAGCAATAGGACAGATTGCTTCGTGGTGTAGGAAATACTCTCTGGGAATACTGTTGCAGTGGATTCCTGCACATGCTTAACTTATCTCTCTTTTTTTTTTAACCTAATCAGTGTGGAGTCCTGGCGACTACTGGACTAGGCAACCTTGCAGTTTTCTTAGGCAAGGTTTTCAGAAGCAGTTTGCCATTGCCTTTTTCCTGGGGCTGAGAGAGACTAATGCAGGACAAGAAGCCATGGTTGTCTGGTTTCTAACCTGATGCCATCATCACTATACCACACTGGCTCTCCCACATGTTAACTAGAGATAGAAAATAGTACACTATCCAGTCCTATTATTATAGCCATAAGAGATTGATTTCTGTGTTAACAAAATGCCAATGTTGAGATGAAAGGTGGAAAACGGTACTAAAAGTAGAAGGATGAGCAAAGCCTTTCTCTGATCACCCTCACAACACAAGGGCACAAGCTGATGTCCCAAACCACGTGCAGCCCTTGAATTCCTCAGATGTGACTCCAGAGATCTCCAAAAATGGTCATTTTTAATGTTATAGAACAATGATGGCTAACCTTTTCCGCACCGAGTGCCCAAAGTATGTGTGTGTGCGAATGCGTGCACGCGTGCCCAAACTCCCAAAATGCAATGCATTCACGCCCCCTGCATGCGCCCCACTCATGCGCATGTGCCCCCCGCACGCGCCCCGTCCCCCACGCATGCATGGCAGAGACTCGAAGACAGCAGAGCTGAACTGGGGCAACAGTTCACATGCCATCAGAGAGGGCGCTGTGTGCCACCTCTGGCACGCATGCCATAGGTTCGCCATTATCTTTATCTTCTTTATCTTTATTTGATTTATATACCGCTCTACTCCCGAAGGACTCAGGGCGGTGAACAGCCAAACGATAAAATACATAAATAGAAAATTTAAAAACAGAATAAAGCCAAATTAAACAATTTGGCCCAGACAGATTTAAAACACCCCAATCATTTAAAAACAGATTAAAATTTTCATATTAAAAAGAAAAAGGGAAAAGATTAGGCCAGGCCCGCCTGGTGGAATAAAAAGGTCTTGAGAGCACGGCGGAAGGTGCACAGATCCGGGATCCTCCATATCTCCGGGGGGAGCTCATTCCAGATAGTAGGTGCCCCCACAGAGAAGGCTCTCCCCCTAGGGGCCGCGAGCCGACATTGTTTGGCCGATGGCACCCGGAGGAGCCCCTCTCTATGAGAGCATACCGGCCGGTGGGAAGCTATTGGTGGTAGTAGGCAGTCCCGTAAATAATGGATATAGAACATTATGGAATACATAAGTGCAGAACAATCTCATTGTATAGTTATGATTTTTATCAACTGTAAACGCAAGTTAAATTAACCGTGTTTGAATTCTCTCCTGAATCCCATCCAATTCTAGAAGAACTCAGCTTGGCTTCCAAAAACTCATGGGATCAAAAATATCAATATTTCCAAACTGCAATAGAAAAATGAAAGCTAAAATTCCACCACCGCTGAATTTTGAGCGCTTGTGAGTTGATCAAATCTTCCCAACATTTAGCTCGCCTTATTTTCCCACGCTTGATTTTTAATGCTTGCTGAACTCCATTTGGTCTCAAGGACTTCAACAGACGGCTTCAGTCACCAGATACTTGGCCTTACCTAGAGCCGATTTCTCAACAAGGCAAGTGCAGCATCACTGCCGAACCCAGGATCTCGTTTGACAAACTCTCAAACTTTGTGACAGTTTCCCTTACAGGATGTCACACCAGCTGCGACTGGATACTGGGCTCCATGGCTCACTTGGCATATGGCATCTGAGAAATGACAAGGGAGAGAGTTTGATGGTGTTTTTTGTGTCTGCAAACCTTCTGGAACTGGTGGTTTGTAACAATAAGCATGAGAAGTCGCTCTGGCGATTTCTCTGCTTCTCGTGGAACCTTTTTAAAATGCAATGAAATGCAAATGCAAATGTACCATGGAGGAGCTTTTTTCCTCTGAGAAATAATGGTAATGGCTAACAGAAAGAGGAAGAAAACAAAAAAAAAAAGTACTGTACTAATCTTTTTAAAAGATACAGATGAATATTTGAAGGACTGGATTAAATGTCTTGGAAGGAGAAGGAAGCAGGAAGAGCAGAAGTTTAATAAAATCCCTAGAGAAGAAATGGGATTATGGTTAAAAAAGGCTGGATTTTCCAGCTGGCCCTTCCCCCCCCCCACCCCATTTTTTTAATAAATACCAACATGATACTAATAGATCTCACCGTTCTATTTTTTTAGGTTCATTTTGAAATCAAAGGATGGCTCTAAAAGGAGTGGGGGAACCCATGAACTCTTCTTTCCTGCAAATGGGAATAAATGGCAGATGGGTTAACTTTACATTTCTGTCCATTTTGTAATTGCTTTTTTCCTTAAACAGCTGTGCTTTTTGATTAGTTATTCAAACTGGGTTGTTGAGGGGTTGTTGTTTTTTAATGGTAGTAAGCATCTCCCCTCTGGGTGATATTTTGAAGCTTTGTAACAAAGGTCCCAAATGTGACACATTCATTTAGATTGCAGTTTCAAATCAACAAGAAATCTGCAGAGTTTACTCCAAATGGAAAAATAGTCCATACCTCTGAAACCAAGCCAGGAGTAAAATGCCACCATCTACCAGCCACAGCATCGCTAAAAGGACATTTGAGAGGGCTTAGTGTTATGTCCATGTTAACATAATGTAAGAAAGACCCATGTTCATTTAGAGTCAAATTTCCTATTAAGCACTATAAATATTATTAGCTTGAGTGCCCAGCAACCGGTCGATAACGTCTCTTCTCTTGTGGTCGTATGTCACAAATCTTGCAAACCATGCTATGTTTTTCAAAGATGTTCTGCTGCATGATCTGAGCATGGTTTTAGCAGACCCAAGGCCAGTTCATCTCCATCAGCACTTCCTTAAAGAGAAAAAGGAGCTCCCTCCTTTTTGCTACAGTATATCAAGTGAAATTCCCTTGGCCGGCTTGAATTGTGCTTTCTGCTTCATTGCTGCTACCAATAGGCTGCTACAGAGCAGAGAAGGAAGCATGGGATCCCACCAATGACTGTTAGTCATTATACGCAATTACATTTTTGGTGGATCTACCACAGGGCTACAAAAGTTGTACTTAACCACAACTGATGAAGCTTCTCAGATGAGAAGTGAAACCTCTTCTTCTTCCCCCAAAAACAGTCCAGTTGCTTTTTTTGTGTGTGGGGGGGAGCACATTTGAGACAACTATGACCTGGATGACCGAGAATCCCCATAGACAAAAGTTGTACTGGTTCCACACTTAAAATCTAAAAGGACACCA